TGAACCGCTGTTCTTGTCAGTTGAAGGGCTGCGTATGTGTGGTTTCTTTAGTTTCCTTTCTGCACTGCAGTAATTGAAGTCGGAAGTCACACTGCAGGGTTAAATTGGTGTTTTTCATGACAGTTAGCTTTGCAGCTTACGCTGGAAGTTGCTGCCCTTCTCAATCTCATTTTGTAGGCGTAGCGGAGGAAGCAGGGAGGCCTCACAAGATTCAGAGGCCATATTTCATAATTGTAGTTAACAGACAGCTGCTTTGCATCAATTGTCCCCAGAGCCCTCAATGCTTCCTTCTTGCTAGCAAAATCACTTCTGCTTTTGCCTGCTATGTCCCCTCCTCCAGGGAAAAGAGGATATATTTCTCTTGCCTATGTTCTCTTCAAGATAGTGGACTCAGAGCTATGAATTATTGTGTGAATTTCGGTCAGAAAAGGGCAAAACTGAACAGAGCATTTAGGATTTTCCTGGTATCTGCTCTCATGCGTAGCCCTGCAGTGAAGCACCTGCAGCAGCTCTTTAAGCAGCCTGTTAGTGGGTCAGCGTCAGCGAGGCTCTGCTCTCTCCACCCTCCTTGCCTGCCCACGCGCACTTCAGCTGGGGGCAGGTGTTCCCCATGTTTATTGAAAAATTGCTGCTAGAACTAGGAAGACCGACCTGTTTGTAAAGTCTCTTTTCACTAAACTGTCTGCTAGATGAAACTGTAGACTTCAAATTATTGGTCTTGCATGGCTTTGTGTCGCTGAGGCAGCTGAAACCAGCACATTTCTAAAGCAACCAGTCTGCCTGTTGTCTGCCTATGTTTTCTTGACCGTAAGTTTCAGCAGATGGGAATTTCCCCTCCTGTAATAGCCTGCCCGAGGAAGATATTGCATAATACAAGGACTGGAAAAAAGTGAGCTTTCATTCCTCCTCCTTTTGGTTCTTCAGAATATTTTATTGTTTCACAAGCTTTATTGATTATCTGCGAGAAGAGCAGAGTGTTGCTGGTATTGTTTGTTACTCTTGGCAACTGAATTGGAGGCAGCAAAAGGAGTCAAGGTGAAAGCAGCAAGCAGAAGCAGCAAATATTTTTATTAAAAGTAATCTTAACTCTTCAGCGACTTTTCTGATAACATGGGAGCCGAACTTTGTAAAAGCTTTGTTCCTCTTCTGGGCTGTGTATCACAATAGTTTCTAAACCAGATTCCACAGAGAAGTCTGTGTGTCTTTGTGGGAGAAAGATGATGATTCTGGGCCTTTCTCTTAAATAAATCATATGATTTATTTCTGTCTCTACTTTCCCAGGTTTATCGAAGGGTGCAGCTGTAATTCTTCATATTTCACTGGCGTTCTGGTAAGCGGAACTTCATATGCTGTGGACTGACAAACTGATCTTTTGCTAGTTCAAATGACATTTTTTTTTAATCACCCTAAATTTGTTCTGTTCTGACTAACTAATAGTTTTGTCAACTTATTTTAATCAAATCATGCATTAAACTTGTTGCACTGTATTGATAACTGTGAGAAAATTTGTTATGTAGTTTGAATGTCCTCATTCAATTTTTTTTCCTCTTTAAATTAGATGTATAATTTAAATTACTTCTCATTACTTTTGTTTTTTCAGTCTGCGTTTCTCTAGGGACCGGAATCCAATTAAAATACATAAAACAGCACAGTGTCTTTGTAAACAAAGTATGCTAATGCAGAAGTAAAAAGTATATTGAAAAAAGAGCACTGTAAGACTGATTTATTAAACAAAGAAGATAGAAACTGAACTGGATGCCTTATCCTTCCAGAACCACTAAACATCCTCCTTTGATATCAGTTTTTATTCATGGAGCGAAAAGCAGGAAGGAACTATTTTCAGTTTCAATTTCATTCTCAGCTTTAAATGAACATCATCTTTTAACTGAACTAGTTGAGAGAAGCGTAGCTGGCAAAATATAGAATTTGTTTATGCTGTCGTTAACACTTTGTACATACTGGCTTAGGACATGCACAATTTCAATAATTGGAAAGCTCTAAAACTTTTGCAGCAAATAGGTATTATTTAACTGGGTACCTATCAAATTTTCGACAGTTTTGCAAGTTTTTCAGAAATTTAACTACCTTCTTTTTAATTAATGATTCAATTTATTATTTATTTTAAAGCTTTGGATTCTGTAAAGAGAAGCTTCCATATTGTTCTCTTTAATTCTGCTACTTGCGGATCTCTGAACTATTTTGGACCTCTTTCCTTAAGAAATGTTGCTGCTGTCGTCTTGTTTCTCTAATAATCCCAGAGATTAAGAGTAGTATGCCTCAAGGTTGATGCTGGCATCAATAAACATTCTTTCTACCTTTTTAAACTCCTTTTGGCAATCCTGGAGGAGTAGGAAAAAAAAAGACAAGCAGGGAGCATTTTTATTCATGGGATGCTTCTGTGGAAGCCCACGTTTTTATTATTGTATAGAGACACAAAGTGCATAAGTGACACTAGTATTGCTTCAAAAGTGGACGAGCGTAAAGACGGACTAAATAGGGGATAGCATGATGTCACAACTGCTCCAAGATTTGCTGGTGCTTTCCCTTGACTTGAGGATGAGTCTGCATACTCGGAGTGTGAATTTAGGTATAGGTAATTCAGCCTGATTTTGCTGTAGAGGCGTAGCTTAGACAGATGCTGAGATATTTAGTTACTTTAGCTTGTATTTGTAGTCCAGCTGTCCCATGCAATTTAGACATGCAGTTATCTTTTATAACTAATAAATAGAGAACTCTGAATTACTTTTGTGTTAAATTATATATTCTAAAAGCATGAAATATAAATGTTGTTTTGCAGAGTAGTTATAAGTGGATCTGTGGAAATGCAAGGTAAGTAAAATATTGACCAAATATTGTCTTTTGTTAATATCAAAGATAACATGGGTCACTTAGAGGTGTTCAAGCAATGATAGCTTAGGGTTTTTTTTTTTTTTTCCAACTTTAGTTTTAGTTTTTCACCTTCTAATTTTATGAAAGACCTCTGAATGTTTGACAAGAGTTGCCTGACATTAGCCAAGCTTAAAATTGTGAGTGAGTTTGTTAGGGAATCATTACTGCTGCAAAACAATTAACGTATGGCAGCTTTTTGCTGATGATCAGATTTTTGTATTAAAACGCCACTATAGTTTCTTGCTTTATTTTTCTCTGGATATCCAAAACTGAAGAAAACAATTGTTTTCATCTCACTGCACAGCTGGTCATATGTATTCTGTTTCTCTTTCCTGCTCTGTTGCTGAACCTTACGTGTGGTTGTACTTCACACTTTCTCCCATCTCTTTTTCTCTTCTTTCTACCTCACTTTCTGCTCCACATTCGAAAAGAAGCATTTGTAAATAGTTTCTCATATTTTAGCAGCAACTTAATTTTTAAAGAACCAAATCACAATAGGCAATATCTAACATTAAGACTCAAAGCACAGGTTATATATAAATTGCAAAACGTTTGGCCTGTATTACTGTTCCATTCATAAATGAAATCTCATGCGTCTTGTGGCAAAGAAATATGTTATGTAAATAGAGCTAGCCTTCAGCACTGAAAGAACATGTGCTACATGTACTGTGAAGGTCAGGGAGCGTTTTTGGTTTTGAATAATGGCAAACGCACACAAATAACAGTCCTTTTTTGCTCAAAGTCTGCTCAGACATGAAAGTGATTTGCATTTTATAAGTGTGGATTTTTTTGTGGGGTGAGCAGTGGTTCTGTCTGTGAGCTTTGTTATAGCTGTTCACATCACCTGATGACCTGCCCCGCTCTTGGCCACAGTGTAGTATTTCACGTGCAACGGTCCATGTTTTGCAATGGGATGCAAAACATTGGTGCTGAACTGATTGAGGCTAAAGATAAGTTTGCAGGTCGGCATCTCTTGAACTATTTGTGTTTGTACAGCTCCACAAAAATATTCCTCGTGACTTCTATATCGTTCTTGCTTCTGAGTAAAGTATAAAATTCCTCTGCATCAGTTTAAAGGTTTTATTTACCTACCGTAAAAGTATTAAATGAGGGCAAATTTATAGTTTGTGTCTCGTAACTTTCATTTACAACTTCAGCAACTTGTGCTCTAAGATTGTGAAGCTTCTGTGTAAGAAAAGCACTGCTACTAGGGCACCTTGCCCTGGTCAGGTAGAAGACATATCCTGGTTCAGCATTTTTTTTTGCGAGTCCTGTGCGTGCCATCTAGTGGGGCTGCTGGGCATTTAGACACTGAAATGCTTCACGAGAACTTGTATTTCCTATAGAGTACTAATTGGCACATAAAAATATGTGGTGATGACTTGCTTGTCATTCATAAAATGTGGAACAGTTTCCTCCTTTACTATGCACTTCCATACAGGAACTGCAGGTTTCCTGAGTGTTGGAAGAGACTGCGTTAGACAAACGGGCAAGCACGCTTCATAGACCTCACTCATTTGATTTGAAAGTTGCAGATTAACTTTGCTAAAAGGACATTTCCTATTAAATAAGGAGAAGATATAGTTACAGGAAAACTGTCTTAAAATTCCTTATTTGGTTAACTGACAAATTGTCAATGCCAACGCTTTTCCCATGTTTGAAGGTATTCTGTCTTCTCTGCTTAGAAATAACCTTTGTTATTTGTTTCTAACACCTTCATTATTTGTTTTTAACTTTTGAATTGCCCATCTTTGAGTGCATGAAATTTCTGCTATGTGCAAGAACGGCATATTTATTTCATTTGTTTTACTCTGGAGGGATTAGAACATCCCAGTCCAGTGTACCATCCTTTATGAAAGTTGTATTTGTAACTGAAATATACTGTAGATATAAGGATCTTCGTAGTTCCAAAAAGCAAACGATGAATTTTATAAAGACTTATAGTGCAATTTTAACAAAGGGGTCTCATAATTTCTTCTCTCCTAACAAATAGGCACTCCAGGAGCAGGGAGCTATGGTTTCCAGGGATATATCAAGGGAGCCCCAGGTGGACCGCCTGTCCAGAATCAGCCTCCTGGGAATGAGGGGTCAATCTGGATGCCTGCCCCTCCTCCTCCTCCTCTCTACTGCCCTCCTGGACTAGAATACCTGACCCAGGTACCTGCAGCCTTTGCTGCCTCCTGCCCCTGGGGGCACCTGTTCGCCTGACGTAACTCAAGTAAACCATGTTGGGGGAAAAGACTGAAAAACACATCTGGTGTTATTGTGGCTGAATAACGTTACCAATTTGGGGCTGCAAAGTGAGACCTTTTATTAAAGTTATTGATGCAGTTTGAGCATGGAAGTGCTTGTTAGGACCACACCACTTAATGGAGTATTCTTCTGCCAAGTAAGATGCTGGAAAACGGACCCCAGGCACTGTGCTGTTATAACTCTTTACCATGTTGTAAAGCTACTGTATGTGAGAAGTAGTGCAATTTGACAAGCTGTGTATAATATATACATATATATATGTGTATATATAAAATTTGGGCAACTGCAGCACATTAGAGGTGATTTATTTTCTACAGGATGCTTTCTGAGCACCTCTTCATAAATTTTTCTTTTTGGAGAGACGGTAGTCAAGCTTCACAAATATAGGGAGCACTGCAGCAAACGTGCCTTGCGTGCTTTAACAAGACCACGCTGGGTATAGCTTCTGCCTTCAGCTCTAGCGTCCTGAAATATTGTTCTGTTAAACTGACAGAGGGCAGGACTTTGTAAGGATGGGGCAATGTCAGCCACTTCACAGCTTTACTGGTAGGTGATTTAGCCTCTGCATAATGTACTGATCCATAAAACTGCAGTCTGCAATGAAAAAAACAATGCTTTCTAAAACTGGGTTTCTCTTAATTGCAACTTGTTAACTCTTAATTTTGTTTTGTATTTCAACCAGATTGATCAGATATTAATTCATCAGCAGATTGAACTTCTTGAGAGTAAGTGAAAAGTGTTTATAGGGGAGAAATGTTTAAATCTGGTAATCACAAGGACTGTAACATCTAGACTTCCTTTGACATTGCTTATTAAAGGTGGAATCCGTTATGGATATCCACTTCTCTCTTTCCTGCCTCCCTTATCTGTCTCAGTCTCCTTAGAAACTTGTGGAGGAATGGAAGGAAGGAGAAAACTGAAGAGTAGAAGAAGATTTTAAACTTTTTCCATATCTTAAAAGATACATGGGAATGTGACTGAGTAATCTTTGTAGCTAGTAATAGCAGAGGTAATAAATCTCCGATGTTATTAATTCATATGATTTCTACATGTCTGTCTTCCCTATTTAAAGTTACTCTTTTCTATCCTCTTATTCCACATATTCCCATAGATTGACGTATTGCTCTGACCCTTTTTCCAGGAAAACTTGCTGTTTGAACCTGAACTGCTTTCCTTTTGCTCCCTCGTTCTGTTCAATTTAAGAATGTCAGTCGTTTTGTCAGTGTTTTTCAAATAGAAGAAATAAAATGAAACGTCCATCTCAACTGACACCTAACGCTGCTGTATTTTCTTTCCGTAATGCTTGCGGTATATGTGAGAGAAATTAATCAAAACTTGTATCCTTTTATTGTTTTCTGTTTTTGTTGCTATGTATCTTGACTCCTATGTATTTTGTGGCCTTATAATTCTGAACATATTTATGCCCTTTAGAGCCCTTTTCATCACGATAAAACTTATCACTTTCTTTAATTCTCATATCTTCAGCTCTTCCCAGGGATCTTTCACGCTGTGTTAGTCAGAATTGTTTTGCTTGCTCTGGTAGTCAGTTTGAACGTCTGGTGGGAGGGGAAACATCTACGTGCTCTTCCCGTAATGCCAGGTTCATGTTTGCATGTACTCTCTGTGAGCTTCTCTGTAAGGCCACCTTGCCCGATGGCGGCCCCACCACTTCCCTTTTTTGATATCTATCTTTGGCAGACTTGCAGGAAGAGGTCTGGCTTCATCATGTTAACTTTAGAATTAACACCGTTTTTTCTTGTCTGTTGTTTGCACAGATAGACGTTAGAAATCAACAGTTCTGTTACTAATTTTCAGTTGTTACTGGCTTTGAAACAAACAACAAATATGAAATCAAGAATACGTTGGGGCAAAGAGTTTACTTCGCAGCAGAGGACACCAACTGCTGTACCAGGATTTGTTGTGGGCCGTCACGACCTTTCAGCATCCGGATTATTGACAATCTGGGCCGCGAGGTGATAACTTTGCAGAGACCTCTCCGGTGTTCTTCGTGCTGTTTTCCTTGCTGCTTACAGGAGGTGAGTTGCTCCCTTTCACCTTCTTCCCTCCCATGGGGTACAGGCCATGTGTACAGTTCATCCAAATCCAAACTGGATTTTCTCAAATCAGGAGGTGAGATGACACAAGTCAAATTTCATCTATAAGTTGTGGGAGGAGAGATCTGTGAGATTTTTGCATGGGGTCTCTCTGTTCTGGGAAGGTCAATGTGTGCTGCAAATCTTAGAATCACTCTTACTTCTTCTGATTATGAAAATGAAAAATTTGGTTCAGCAGCATTTCAGGGAACTAGTGGCTTGTGCTGAGATGTGCAATGGCAATGCCCTTGTGCCGTAAAGTTACGCAGCAGCTTTCGTGAAATAACTGCTAATTTCCACTATACTACTGTGAAAGCTGCGACTAAATTCAGCACGGAAGATGAAGAGCTTTTAAAAATATTAATAACTGTGGGGTGGCGCAACTTCTGAAATCGTTCTGAAAAACAAATCTACTCAGAGCGCATACTGAGGAATTTATAGTAGGTGTGTTCTGTTGTCTTGTCGGATGCCTTCTGTTCCTGCTTTCAGGATACCCAAAGCTGCCTCTTCACTAGACTTTCTGATCTTTACACTGTAGATATATATAGCCTGTATGTACCACATGGTTAGGAGTATGTTTTTGTTTGTAGACAAAAATTGCGTATTAAGTTTGCAATTTGTATGTAGTTTTCGGAAAAAAGTTTGCAGAAAACCCCATACAGCTTCATACATTGGGATGCCAGATTGTTGTGGAAAAGAAAAATTGTGTATGGTTTGTATGTGAGTGTGTTTTTTGCCTAACAAGCATATCAAAATATGAACTGTTTTATGTGAGGGGTTTCTTTTTCTTGTGAAGCTGGAAGTTCAGGCCCCTCCAGGAACACCAGTGGGTTATGTTGTCCAGAACTGGCATCCCTGCCTGCCTAAGTTTACCATTCAAGATGAGAAAAGAACGGATATACTGAAAATTACTGGCCCGTGTATTGTCTGCAGCTGTTGCAAGGATATTAATTTTGAGGTATGCAATGCTAAAAATTGTTTGTATTTATCTTCTTTCAGATAGTAGTTTGGTATTTGCAACCAGTTGCTCCACTTATTGCCTGTCAACTGAACTGTAGTACGTATTATGTAGTTTATAATCCTTTAATGTTAGAATAATCATTCACTTTTCTGGATATCTAAATTACTCTAGATAAACAAGTCAAACTTCCAGAAGTGTGAGCTTAAATCCACTGATCAGTGAGTCTGATTCCCTATGGTCGCACACAAATGTCTTAATTGGCGTATGTAGTATTTTCTGAGTCTAATATGTTAGTCCCTAACAAAAAATGTTCTTCTCTGCTCTACCACATGCTTATTAAAATGACTTTCCACAAGCACTGAGTCAATTGTTTAATAGTCATTCAATAACCAAGTAAACCAATGTTACTTAGACATAAAACATAGATTTGAATGAGTGAGAGTTACAACTCTTGTTTCACTTCGAAATAACAGTGATGAAAACAGTTGTTTTCATACACACTGACTGGTAGGCACACCAGTCTACCATTTAATATTTAAAGTGATGTTGCAAACACTTGCTAAAACAAATTTAGTAGCATTTTATTTAGGACATTAGTCTGTACTGTGGCCCAGAGCACTGGATTTAACTTTAGGAAACATAATGTTGATAAAGGGCTAACGTCTGCTTTGGAACAGCAGGATGTAATTTGTTTAATTTTCACTTGAACAGTTCCTGACGCATGGCAGAAGAAACTGTAATTCATTATCTTGGCTAGAAGACAATGCTTCCCGTCAAGTGTGTGTATGCGTGCATACGTGTAGGAACTGTCTTCCAGCACCATTAAAGCATTGAATTGTGCACTCAGATTTAGAGTTAGGATCATGTCCATGCTATGTAAGACTGACTTTCTGATAGCTAGGGTTGCCCTTTAGTGCAAATAGTTGAATTTCATCACTGCTTTAATTCAAATAACACAATTTGAAGCTTTCAAATGGATGCATAATGAGATTTGGCTTTTTAAAAATTCATTTTATTTTAAACTAGGTGAAGTCCACTAATGAAAGTTGTACTGTTGGGAGGATTTCTAAACAGTGGACTGGACTTTTGAAAGAAGCATTTACAGATGCAGATAATTTTGGCATCACATTCCCCATGGACCTTGATGTAAAAATGAAAGCTGTCGTAATTGGTGCTTGCTTCCTTATCGTAAGTCTGTAATTCGCTAATACGTGAACACAAACTGACCTCTTCATGTCAGTGTTCAAGTTGTGCTGTTAAAGGATGTGACCCTGGGCTCCTTGCAGTGTATGAGTGCTTGTTGTTAATTTCCTGTGTGTAAAGCTAGCCTTGGAGGGACTGGGGAAAAAAGAATTATTTCAGATAATAAGCTTAATCTATACTGCATCAGGCGTTAACTATATTTAAGGATACCTTCATATTTGCTGAGATTGAGAAACCTCATTGAGGGGAGAAAGACTCCTTAAAGACTCATTAACAGAGGTAAAGATGTTTTTGTGGCTGGTGAAACCAGAAAAGTTCAGATCAGCCGTAGTCAAGAGACCCAGCCAAAGTCGGAGCAGCCTACTGAGCTGGTGAATGGAATAGATGAATGTTGCAGTAAGTTCCTCCTGACTCCCTTCCCTACTGGGGAATATGTGAAGCACTGAGCTGAGCAGGATTAAATGCTCGTGGAGGAGTCAGATCCAAAGGAAAGGACCTCTGTGGAGGCAAAGCCTGGCCTACCTGCATGCAGTCCTTTGAGCTTCATTCTAACTCTGCCAGGTCAAACACTGCAGGGCTGCTCACTCGTTGCTCTGAAAACAGCATGTGACACGCTTGTGTTTGCACTTATACGTGCCATTTGACATCACGTATCGCTTCAAAAAGGGCAAGCGCTGTTTCTGTGTCAGCAGATGAGAAGGGCAAGGGGCGACTGCAGCAGCTGAGCTTGGGAAGTTCTCACCCGTGCTGCTTGGCAGGAGCAGCCTTTCATAGTCTCATGCACAAACCAGATTTTTCTTAGCAGTGTGTGTTTGTGTGCTGTCATGCATGTGACGCCTAGCACTAGCAAATACGAACAAGCCAGAACTCCAAAAATGGAAGTGGGGCTCCTAAATGTAAACTAAAGATAGCGACCGTTATGACAGACTCTGTTTTGAGGTAAAATTGAAGGGACTAAGTCAGGTCAGACAAAGTCAGGACAGGAATCCTGAGTAAAGTAAGCATAGCTTCTGCTAGCTGTAATTTAAAGTTTCCATCTAGGTCTTTCACTGCCTCTTTCTCTCTCTGTGGGTGTCCTGTTGTCCATACGTGAGACCCAGGTGATGGAAGGTGGGTAGAAGTGCTCCTGCCTCCCTCCTATCATCTAAGGTGTTTGAGGGGAATGTGCTTTGAGCACCCTGCAGGACAACAAGGAGAACTCTCAACTATGAACCAGTAAGAAATACTGAGTTTGTTTGCTTTTTATCTCCTTCTTAGGATTTCATGTTTTTCGAGCATACTGGGGATAAGCAACAGTGAACAGGAGCTTGGCAATGAAATCTAGAATTTTTAAATAAAAAGAAGAAGAAAATAAGTTGCCTGACTTTCCAGTGGATTACAAAGCTCCAATGAGAATGTGAGAAATGTGGATCTTGTTCCTGAAGTTATATTTCTGTAATCTAAAAGCTGTATGGTCTAACTTCTATTTTTGTAATCTTAAGAAATTATTTACAATATCCAAATCAAAACCCTCTGTCTGTACAGATCAATATTGTAATTTATAGAAATATATATCATCCTTTTTCTAACGTAGTAGTTTTTTACACTTTTATGGAAGTATTCCTCTTTTTTAGGAATTAAAATAACTTTATTCAATATTGATATAAGTAGTGAGCCTAACGACAAGGTGCTAATCTTTGCTGTGGATCCCTTTTTGGTATTTTTGCCTCAGTGCACACATTCTGATATTTACCACTTCTTATCAAATATATATGTTCAAAAATGTGATCTAAATGAGCTATCCGAAATCACTGTCAAATTGTCTTCATCTAGTGATAAATCTGCTGTCAAATACGACTCCTTTAGTGCGACTTAGTCGCATAGTTTTGTTTTGTTTTGTTTTTTTTCCTGAAACTTGAGACAAGATTTTGATTTTCACCAGCGGAAGTTCAGAGGAGACAGGAAATACAAATGCCTGCGGTGGCTTCTCCTTAATAATCCTTTAGTAAATGCTTGGTGCATGAGTATGCTTTTCATGAGGCAAGGAAAAAATAGCTGCTTTTTTTTTTTTTTTTTTTTTTGTTTCTACAGTCCTCTCTACCTTTCATTTAGTCTATAGTTTTCAGATTGCAAGTCTGTTTGGTGTGGGAGGGTCAGGAGTAATAAACAAAGAATTCCACTTCACAGACACAAGTGTGGAATGGCAGGCCTATTTCTTCTCATTCATAGCTTTGTGTTAAATGTGCAAGCAAATGGATAAATCTTCTGGTTCTTGCTTCAGCTTCATGAAAGCATGTGCATATAGTGATTCTTGGGACCTTGCTATGGGAAGAGGTCTTTGCCGATGTTTTGAGTTGCGTTCTAATTTACTAAACATTTCTTTAGTCTAGTATTTACAATTTATTGATGGCTCCAGACCAGCCAAAAAGCAGAGGAAAAGGGTGTCATTGCTGCTGTGTACTCCTTTTGATGTTTTTAAGAATTAGAAGCTTGTAACAAGTCTGTACAGTTCTAGAAGTCTTAAATTGTATGCTTTGTTAAAGTTAGTTTCTGCTTGCTAGAGACAAAATCCTGTGAATACAGGGCTTTTTATAATGGGAATTGCTGGAAGTGCATTTTTATTATTCAGCACTGTTCCTAGGGAATTAAATTATTGTGATTTTTGAAAACATTGTGCTCTATCAACTTGTTTCTAATGCGGTATTGGAAATTCAGTCTTGCTCAAGTCAAAATTACAGACAAAGTTTGATTGCTTCAGCTAGGAATAGATGTGATAGCCATAGAAACCAAACCAGCATACCTACAAGTAGAGCTGTAGGGTCTACTTATACCTAAACCTGTCAGTGTTACTTTTTCTTCTAAGTGTTCACATAGAAAATGTATGACAATAGTAGATGTGCCCTTTCAGTCCTATCTGTAGGTTTGAAGTCCTAGGCTCTCAGACATTCAATGGCTACAGTTTCCATAGATAGCAGAATTACTCTAACATCTATATTCCATTAAGATTTTTTTGTTGAAGATACCTGTTAATATCTGTTCAATTCCATGGCAGGTCCTGTATAGAATTTAAGCTTACTCTTGCATACTTTTTCTGTTAGACTGAGGTCAGTCTGTGGCTGCTCGAAGAATGCATAAAATAATATTTTCTAAGTAGACAAAATGGGATACCTTTGCCAGCGCTGAAAAGCATCTTGCATCGTATGTTGATCCCTTGACAACAAACTGGGGAGCGAATGCCCAGGTAAACAAGGTATGAAGAACTTGGGCAAATGGTACATGAACAGGAGCCTTTATTTTCGTTACTTTCGTTAAGTAACAAAACCCCATGTTTATATGTTGCTGCAATTCAATATAAGCCGTAGAAGCGCCATCACCCCAACCACCTTGTGTAAAAAAATTAGGCACAATCATTCACATACGTCTCTGTAGAGCATAAGAGAAGAATATGGGAATGCAAGCAGTTGTGAACAATCAACTTCACATCAAGGTGGGTAGGGGAAAAATGTCTGGTTGTAGCTTCTGTAACTTAAGCAGAATTACAGTCGCACGCTCTAACAATTCTGGAAAGTGTTATCCAAGTAAAGAGGTCTTGGCTTACAAATCTGCTTCTCAAATACAGTGAAACTCAAAAATGAAGTTGCAAAAATTGTGCTGTTGTCTATTTGAGTTTTGGGGTTTGTGCTGCTTAAGTCTACTGGTTAGATTGCTGCAGCTTAAGGCGTTATCATATATATAGCACAATTAGTAAATAAGAGCAACAATTAGGCAAAGTAAATGAGCACCTGAATATAGCTATGGTGTTCAGTAATTAAGATGCAAGGAGTTCAAGCTGAGACTTCCAGATTTACCAGAACTATGGTAAGAGGAACATGAAAGAGATCCCACAATCTCAGATCCCAAAAGGACAGAGAGACCGTTTGACTAGAGAGCCTATTAGTCAACTGAGTAACTGGATAGTTTTGATATAGTTGTACAGTTCTTGTTCATATTCTCTTAAACTTTGATATTGAGAAATTTTTCACTATCTGATCTGTCGTGAAGCTGAAAATATTAAATGAGAAAGGCTAACAAAGGACAGCTCTTTAGTTAACCAAACAATATCTTACCACCTTCATCACCTCTTTTCACTGTTTTGTAATGATATTTGAATTGAAAAATGCTTAATCCTTAAATTCTTCAAAAACTTCTGGAAACAGCTGAGAGCTAAGCATACGAGCTAGCTCATTGCTGAAAAAGGTTGTGGTAAATGCAGAAGAAATTATTCTTTGAGCAGTATTACCCGTAACACCATCCTTATTTAGTAAATCACCAGCCTCCAGAACTCTCTACTTTTCATTAGACCATACGCAATACAATGGTTTATTCCCATATCCATAAATCCAGGCTTTGGAAAGCATTAGAAGACTTTCAGCACACTGTTATTCAATTCCATCCCAGTTAGATAAAACTTACATAAAACCTTTACAGAGTGAGGTTTGCAGATGGATTTCTCTATGCTTTTAATGACCTTTCCATCTGTATCGTCTCTGAAGTTTTTCATTTCCAGCTTTACTGGAGATGCAGTCGCTTAATGAAACCCTAGGGTCTGTAAGGCACAGAAGAGCATAATTCATGTGATGTTTTTCAGTAGAAAAGTGTATTTAATCCCAGTTTCTAGAAACCAAAATTATAAGCCAAAAAAAAAAAGGTCAGCTACCCCTAACCTTAGTCGTAAGCAAGATTGGCTTTTTTGCCGAATCCATGGAGGAGGACCGTTGTTTTAAAGTACATTGTGTTACAGTTGGTTGGCGTCTAAAAATGTTTTAATTCATATAAGGGAAGCTTAAAAAAAGGTTTTCTTGGGTGCTTTTGTAGAAGGTCCTAAGAAAGGACTTTAGGTCCATCACGTGCTGCTTTGTTTTACTGATGAGAATAACTTTCACATACTTTTTGGTTTTACTAATGAGAATAACTTTCACCAAAGCTGAAAAGCTGACCACAAGAGAGCAGGGACTGAACAATAAGAGGGGATTCGGTAGAGGAGGAGGGAACTAGTTTTCATGAACTTGTCCTCTTTTCTGGGGGAATTTAATTCATTTACTTAGGTGCAGCTATACCTCATTGGAAACACCAGTGGTAATGATGAAAATTGAATCTTCATTCAGGGGAATGTATTATAAAATTGCCTGGCTTAAGCGTTTGACAGCTGCATGAATATGAACGCTGAAAACTTGTAACAGAAATACCATGTGAAATTGATAGGGAGAGGTAAATGGCTGACGCAGAGTAGGAAGCTGCAGTGCAGAATCAAAATGACATGCTGATAAGGGAACAGCTCATGACCAGGACAAGGAAACGGATCGAGAGGAAAACCGCACCTCAAGGCAAAGAAGCCGTTTCAATCAGAAATTAATCATGTGGTGAGACCTTGATTTTAAACTTAGTGAGACAGGAGGTATAAAAGACCGTCACAAAATAACAAGGAGTCAACGATAGAGAATAATAAAGAAAAAGCAGCAGTGCTCTCAGGGTGGAGGCAAAAGCCCAGCTATTGGAGAACTGTGGTGTTAGACCAAGACTATGTGAAAGCTCTATACATGCTTTCCTGATTTATGCTTGTGTGGTATGCTTATGTACCAGATCAGATCCCTCTAAGACTAGATGAGTTACTCTGTCTAATGCCTTTTTTCACAGTCCCTCTCCAAATCTGGGCAACAGTATGGAAATATGTTGTATGACAAAAAGCATGCAGCTAAGTTTTTACAAGTATGACAAGACAAAGAAACCTTACAGTAGATTTTTGCCACCTCTCAAACAGAGACTCCTATATGTTACTGAATTTGTTTTGGAGAAAATTATCCTCTGTTCTACAGATATGTTTAAGTTTGGTTTGTTGATTTTTTTTTCCCTAATAGCACAATGTTATTTAAGAGAAAAATGAGGAGAAAATATACAGGAAAGTATTGCAACAAAAGCCAAAGAGGAGGAAGAGGTGAAAACAACGATTAACAATTATTGCATCTCCTATTTTTAAAGCTGCATTTTCTAGGAAGCCCATGTCTGTACTTTGTGTGCAACAGGGGGCAGTGTTAGCACAGGAATTATTTTTTCACTGCTTAAAAAGTGGTGCTGTGGTATTTGCATGCATTACCCTAGTTGTCATTCTGATTTTCTCAGTGGAAGATTTTCAGATTACACTATCTCCAAAGTATGTGTTCCCTAACTGAGTGTGGAAATGTGTCTTTCCCACCAAAACTGCATTTGAAGCTTAAGATTTTGCTGCTGCAGGCCACTACGAAAACTAAGAATTGCGTGAAAGTACGTCAAAGCACGATTGATGAAAAAAAAAGAGAGAGAGAGAGACAGACAGACAAATACCATGTAATGTCCTTATAGCTGCATTAGGCTGGGTATATGGTAGAATTTGGAACCGGTCTGTGAGCTGTGACGTAATTTACTACACAATAAAAAAGCTGCTACTACCTCACAGCAGCATACATCGAAGCAAACAGGCTAATTCATTGCTGGCTTAATGTCACTGATTTACACTGGAGGTGAATTTAGCCCCCAGGCAAGAGGGGTGAGAGCGTGCCTTGCAGAGCACCGGGCCGTACCCCAGGCTTCCCCCAAGGCTCTAGTTGTGGTTTTTTATTTAAACTTGCTGCTTCATGCCGCGGCTAGTTTAACCTCTAGCTGCCCTAGTTATTGAACCGGGGCTGCTGGTAGCTGCTGAGGAACTCGATATTTCTCCCTTGTTGACTGCAAGCAAATGAATGTGCCTGTTGGCGAGCTGGACACAAAGCGCAGGCTGGGAGCCCGTGCTGGCAGGGGTCTCAGTAGGTCCCTGTGCTGCGCCTGGCCCTGCCGCGCACCCGGCTCCGGGCTTTCGTTGCCGTAAGTGCCAAAACAAGGAGAGTCGGTTCGTGCACCGCAGGGACGTGCTGGCCAAGGGTCGTCTCTTCCCCGCGCTGTCTGCGGCGCAGGTGATGTGACACGGAGGTTTTCTCACCCGAAAACTGCTGTGCGATTCCGTGTCGCAGCTGCAAGCAAGGCGGTCGGTCAGCGGCTGGTGTAGCACAACCGCTGGCGCCCGGGCGAGCTCCGAGCCGCGGCAGCGGGCGGCAAACGCTGTGCGCCATCTCCTAAGCAAACCAGGCAAGCTGAGGTTTAGGGTGAAGGCTAAAATTAAGGCTGTTTACGAGAAGAAATTTAGAAACGAAAGGCAACCTGCTAATTTAGATGACGCGGAAGACACTGAAGAATTTGGGGCTGCCTGGACATCATGGCCTCACGGCACTCTTCTGCTGATTGGTTTTATAACCAACATGTCGTTTCAGTAGCGTTTCGAAACGGAGGTGCTGGTGAGGCGTTCCTGCTCTAAAGCACGCCGTCTCTCGCGCAAGTGTAAAGTTCTCTGGAAAGCTGGGATTTGTTTTGCACAGTTAACAACATAACCCTCAAACGTACCTGCGCTTACACCAGCATTGCTTTGGGCTGCTCTATTTTCTATTTAGTTGTACCCAGTTACGTAACCTGTATGTCCGGTGCATCACTGGTGGCTCTGATGCATAAAGACCTGATAGTCTTTATGCTTTGTAAGTTGTTTCTTCAGTTCTTTATGACCCTTCTCAATCTCCCCAGCTGATATTTCCACTCAGGCTCAGTTTCCTGGTTTTACTTCAGCTCTCTCCATCCGCCCAGCCCAGAACAGAGTAACCTTTCGCCCTGGGGAATTTGAATAAAATGAATTTTAATATTGCAAGTGTCATGTATGTTTGCCAGAGACCTACCCATTAGCAGTTAAATCCTGCTAAAACTCCTGTAGCCAGTCCTGCTTTTTAGAAGAATATAAATGAGGTGTTTGCAGTTAGTGATTGCAGGTTTTTTTATTTTTAATTTTTTAAATTACATTCAGTATGGCTGTACAATAGCACCAAGGCACACATCCTTCCCCCCCCCCCACCCCAAACAAATTTCTCATTTTCAGTAAGCAGAATTTGTGGATCCTGGAAAACATAGGCCTTTCCGTGGACTGAGTCTGAGCTGCTGAGTTTGCTGGCATTTGGTTTATGTCCACATTCTGCTTGTTGCCAGATTGGGATAGAAAATAAATACAAGGAAAGTTTTTCAACACAGACAAGGGCTCACTGTGCCCTGTCCTCTTTTTCCACTGAACAAACTGTAGAAAGGCCATGAGAGGTGGTGAGCTAATATTAAAATGCACCAAAAATTAAAGCCAGTCATTGAAATGAACAGGAACTTACCTGTGGGTTACTGTGCTCATTTTTCAATGGTTTAAAAAAAAGAAAGAAAAAAGAGCAAATAGCTAATATTTCAGTGGCAGAGAACAGAGTGAGAGCGTGCAGGGTAAAAGCTCTGATGAATAAATCCACTAAATTTACTTATGTTGTGTGTGCTCCATTTATAGCACTTAACTTGATAAGCAGTAAGTTTAGTTGCACGAAATGTTTGCCCAAAAGTGAATGTTCAGGTAATGAACAATATATCATAAAGATATCAGTGTTTATGTATGCTTTAAGGGAGCTACTAAAATGCGGTGCCAGAGCCAAATATGAACTAATCAACACCTCTTGAGCTGCAAATATGAAATCTTTGCATTAAATTGTTTTTCCTGGGGAACAGCACCTCAGTAATTATGTGGTGAAATTCAGCAAAAGCTTTCACT